ACTACTACGTACTATATATATATATATATATATATATATATATATATATATGTATATGTATATATATATATATGTGTGTGTATATATATATCCGTATATATATCAATATGCATACAAGTATATATCCGCTGTGCTATAGCCCGCGACTTTTGCAATACTATTAAAACACGTATAATTTGTGCACACACAGTCACATATTGATAATGAGTCGCTAAGCCCCATACACTGCATCTATGTACATGTCAGGTCTATGCGTTGCAATCATCTTGTATGAATAGTATGTGTATGGGGCGTGTTGCCGCTGTTCGCATAGTCTGATGCACACGTCATATCAGCCATTCGACTCACTATCTCGTCTATTGTTACCCGCAGCGTATGCCACCATTTCACTAAACTGATGGGCAACGAGGGGTATAAAGGCAAGGTACGCATTGACAACGAGAACAAATTGCTTTCTATCACCGCTGAGCCCCGAGCAAAGGAAAATCCGGTATGTAAACAGACCATTGATGTACGTGCTTACACTTGTGTATGGCTGCTTGACTGGTTAAGCTATGTACAGAAGGTAAACGTAGTGGGCAGGCAGTACATGGCTACTTTTGCGTGCAGTCAGTGTAAGACAATCTGTGTGTGCAATCGGCACTTGTATGGGTGAGGCCACAATATATACTTACTCGCTTGTGTCTCAGTCAACCCTTGTATATTTCATATGTGATTAGGACGCGAATGCGACACACTCATTGCACGAGTGTCTGTGTACATATCGATGCAGAAATCGTGGGTTTATCTACCACACCAATGTCATGTGTACACTCCGATAACATGCTCCCAATTGCATTGCTCAATTGTGTGTAAAGTTGTACCACATTCAGTGTACTCGGATGTGATCAATTGTGCACTGCTTGTACCTGATGGTATATCCGATCATTGCACTGTGATGCAAGTAATTCATATCACAAATCCAAGCCCCGCTTCAGGACACAAATTTGTATCGCTCAGACTTTGACACAGCCTTAAATCATCCGTAGTGCACGGATGTGCGTCCAAATTAATCACTGCTTAACTATACTGGTACATCCATTAAACAACAAATTCTCATGCATTGTACTGAAGTGATGCATCGTTTAAATCATGCAAATCTATCCGCATCCAATTGTTTACGAAGGACCACAAAAACGCTCTCGGGCGGCAAGTGATGCATTGTTTAACTTAAGCAAATCTATTCACACGCAAATTATTTTTTGACCCATTTTCCGCCACACTACACCACACCTAACCCACAGAACGGACGAAGGACCACAAAAACGCTCTCTGGCGGCGAGCGATCCTTCTCGTTAGTGTGCTTTCTCATAGCCATCTGGAATGCCATGGATTGTCCCTTCCGTGCCTTGGATGAGTTCGATGTGTATATGGACATGTACAACCGGAAGTTGTCGTTGAGATTGCTCACAAAACTTGCCATTGGATTGAAGAACCGACAGTTCCTGTTCATTTCACCACAAAATATGGAGTGAGTTGGATTGTATTCTCTTTTATATCTGTATAGTGTGTTGTGAAACATATAGAATATGTAAAACAATGAGTTTTGGTTTCTGCAGAAAAAATCTGTAACCTCTTTTGATGTACTGGATTTACCAAATGTACTAAAAACAATCCGCGTTTTGCTGTTTAGATACAAAAGACTATTTCTGTAATTTGTATTGCTGTGCAATTATGCGCTTCACAACTATCATCCGAGTCCGTCACCGTACCACTGAGATAGGGTTTTTCCAATTATCGGTGTAACTTGATGTACCTAAAGTTCTGTTCTTTTACATAGAATTCTCTGTCCAGCTTGGGTGTTGCTGGTTTTAGTTCAAGCCATATAATTACCTGTGCAGCGCGAGGTCTCGCCGAGCAACACAAATATCAATTCAGTACTATCCACCTGTCATGTAACGGTGAAAGCATTGCAATGGAATGGTTGGTGTGTGTAACTTCGATTTACGTCCTAGTTCTCATTGGTCGTAAAATGTATCCCGAAACCTAACAGACTCTCCTCGTTTTACTTCCATCCACTCTCCCTTGCACAGTGGTTTGGTGGAGGGACCGAATGTGCGGATACATCGAATGATAGATCCTGAACGCGATCAGCAACGCTTACCCTTTGTACCTGCACACTATGTGCGTGAGTGATGTCCGTCACACGTTTGAGTGGTATTTTTCGCCATTCAGCACACAGCAGCAGTAATCTGCGGTTCAGCTATTGACGAATATCAGCAGCGATTGATTTATGACGCTATATGCATTACATACATGTATCATGAATAGGTGAATATATTCACTCATTTCAGTGAAATCGCTCACTACTCAGAGATTGACAAAGACCAAGGCGACCTATAGTAAATAAATCCAGAACAATAACTCAAGCACTTCCACGGTATATCCTTGTCTTTGACCGGTAAAAAGCCCAGTATTTTTCGGATTTACATGTGTACTACGAATCTTGCCATTTGTTCACAACCAAGTGTGTATATATTATGTTTTTGAAATCATAGTTCGAGGAGCAACCATCTGCCCAGCTGCGTTATCTTAACCAGCGCATCGATCCACTTGATGCAACTCTAGTGTGATTAGAGCCGATATCGGTTTTGTATGGCATAATGACTCTATATTCGAGAAAGAGAGAATAATTCTCGGCATATTTCGAATGTACATTACTTTTCAAGAAACAATCGGGCATTCAGAGTCAATTCGAACCACACAAAAAGTGACATCCTTCGGTGTTGTATTGTTATTGTTTGTTATTGTACCCATTCGTCACAGAAAGAACTTTAACACAAGCAAAGTTAAGCCGACCCAAAGCTGAACTGTAAAGTCAACTTAGTCTGCTCATGTATTCAAGTCTATTTGGAAGTCAACTATCTAATTAGTTTATTCAGTTCAGTGTAATCGTATGGTTCACTGCTGTATTTTGAAGTCGTGGCGGTTGTAGTAGTCGTATTTACATTTTTTTACTCGATTCCGGAGGAGGCGAAGCTGGAAGCAACGACCCTCTAGTTGGCTCTAACGGTTAACCCGCGTAAATGTTCCGACGGTTCTACTTTCGAGTGGCAAATTTTTGTGTTCGATTTATAGCAGAAAGCTACGGTTTTGGAAAATGAGGTTGAAATATTACTTTTGTTCAGATTTTTTTACCTCCAAAATACTACATAGTCAAAAATGGCTAAATTAGAGCAGAACGAGGACATATCGGTCAAAAATTAGGTCCAAACTAATCGGTTCTGGTAGTCTGGTACTTGATTATAGTTATCCAGAATGTCCCAGTGACCCAGTCACTGTGACTGGATATCGGTCAATAATTAGGTCCAAACTAATCGGGTCTGGTAGACTGGTACTCGAATAGAGTTATCCAGAATGTCCCAGTGACGCAGTCTCACTGTGACTGGCGTCTGTGGGGCCGTATAGTTTAGGCTATGCAACTTGCAACTTGCAACGTCCTCGAGTCAAAGTGCACAACTCACAGGAGTGTGAACTTGTGAAGTTGTGGACTTACTGATGACTGAACTGTGAACATATATCCAGAGAGATCGATATTGATTTTGACTCTCTGACTCTAAGTCTCTGGCTCTCTGCATTCAAAACCTATGGCATTTCTTTGGAGTCGGTTTTGGTTGGATAGAAGAAAAACTCGGCACTTTTTTAAGCCACTTAAATTTAAAATCAGTAATGTCAGCGTCTCTGTCGACTCTTCGAACGTCGGGGCACGCGAATGAGTAATGACTGAATTAAACGTACTCACAAAGTGACAAAACAGTATTTGTTAAAAAAATACGTTGTTTCAACAAGAATCACCGAATCAGCAGACGCCAACAATGCTGTCGATGATGTGAGATTAAAAGTCTGCCACTCTGCGTCCTGCGACCTGCGACCTGCGTGTGTCTGAAGTCTGAACTCTGAACCGAAACTCTCGAGTCTTGACTCTACAGTCTACACCCGTCTCTACAGTCTACTGTCGACACTCTACAGTCTACTCTACACTCTACACCCTGCAGTTTACTGATGACTGACCTGTACAGTGAATAGTCACAGTGTGCACATTCGATGCACAGTTGCACACTCTACACTCTAAACCTACAGTTGGTAGATTTGAGCTGCACTACACTACACTTTATAGTCTACACTGACCACTGTGCACTGTACTATGTACAGTCTGCACTCTGCTCTCTCAGAGAGGGAGAGAGTACTGCTTGCTATGTACATGTTTCGTTCAATACTGAACACTGATGCATTCGGCGGATCTGTAACATTATACTAAAGAAACTGGGGCGTGATTGAATAGGTATCTAGTTGCTCTCTAATATAATATTTACTATCTCTCTCTAGTTCTATTAGGACTAGTAGTAGACGTAGTGAGATAGTTACTTCTCTGTACTCTCTCTAGAGAGAGAGTGTGTGTGTGTGTAGTTATGCACTAGCAGCTAGTAGAGACTGCTAGAGTGCTACTATTCTCTAGTAGTAGTGGTGAATAGAATGCAAATACAACTTTTGTTAGACGTACGTAGTACGTGGTAACGTAGGAATCGGTAGGGTCACTGTATCACCTTTTTTTTTCATATAAAAAAACTATACCATACATATGATATCAGTACATTATTGTACTGTAACTATTGGACTTAGTCCAAGAGACAGAGAGTCACTTTAGTGTTTAGAGTTTTAGTATGATCAGGACCCGGATCGGTCGTACAACAGTATGAGACAAATATAAGTGCTAGGCTGCCAGATTGGACTTTTACAGCCTTAAGCCCTTAACTCTTTTTCTTCTTAAACCATATTTTTGCACGTCTTAGTGGCTACTCTCGATGAGGAAACGGAGTAACAAAGTACTCTTGTGACAAGTTGTGAGTCGGCTCTCCTTGTTGTGTGAAAATCTCAAAATCAAAATAGGGCGCTCTATTAAAAATATTTTTCCGAAATAAATAGTCATACATATTCTAATTTTGTTTTGAAAACAATGCGTCGAAAGTTCATCAGTCGTCACTCGTCACCGTCAGTGGTCAACTGGTTAACACGACACAGTCGACACAGTGTGTAAAAAGTTAAAAAATTCTAAAAATAAATAGTAATAAAAGAATATGTACTGGGTATACCGGTTAACCGGTATAGGCGGTAGTCATATAATATAGTACAGTAGTATTCACCCTTTTTTTTAAAGTTAAAACTATAGTGCACTAAGGGCAGTTGCTGCACTTGTCTGATTGTCATCAGTTGCCACTCCTTGTCAGTCTTGGTCATATCGAAGACTCAAAGGTGTTCGTTCGAACATCGAAAAGGAGCATTCTATGTATGTACATACCACAAGGGCCAAGGCACAAATGCAATAAACATTGTTCAGTTTCATATATATGAGCGGAAACTTTGCATATTCTTACATCACAACACAACACAACACAACACACTTCAACACACTTCATCACACCTCTGCTAGAAGATAAAATGAGTGTCACTTATAATGAACCTGTACCTGAGGTAGCAACGCGACTGACATTCCAATGTAATTTAGCTAAACGGGTAGCAATTGACGTTGGTGCAGCTTTAGCGGCTGCCTTCTGTGTGTCACCTATAATAACCATAGTAGATCGATCGATCATTATGAATGCATCCGGTGCACAGAAGCTAGGTAGTGCCCTTGTAGGCGGTGTGAAGCAGCTCACATTTACTCCCACTTCCTTCATCAGAGGTTTGGACTTCAGGCTTATATGGGGTCTATACACAGCCACTTATGTAGTTGCCAACGTCGTCGACACGGTGAGTGAGCTCAACAAGAAAGACTCAGCTATGCCTAAATTCGTAGTCACTACAGCAGTTAATGGGTCTCTGTGCATAGCCAAGGACAGAGCGTTCACGCGCATGTTCGGTACTATCGCCCCCACCTCTCTACCAATAGGCTCGTATGGTCTGTTCGCCGTACGTGATATGGCTACTATTGGCGCTTCCTTCTCTCTACCTGTCAAAGTGGCTGATCACATGCATGATGAGTATGGGTATGATCGGAAACGAGCTCTCTTTGCGGCTCAGTTACTGTGCCCAATGGCTGTTCAACTGGTGTCCACGCCAATGCATCTACTTGGATTGGACTTGTACAACAACAAGACGGCCACAACATCGCAACGTGCTTCGTTCGTCGGGAGAGAATATCTGAAAAGTACTGCCGCTAGGATTTCTCGTATCGGTATGTCCAGGTTTTTCGTTAGTATCTTTATTTTTTATACACGTGGACTTGTTTCACGTGAGACATTGGTACAATTTACTCCAAATCTATTCGTATACATGTGTGCTAAACAACGCAGCTTCTATCTTATGTATACTAGACAACGTAGCTTGGTAGTTAAATGTGTATATACAAAATCATTAGTATTCGCTGTCCTTAACTATACTTCGAATCTATTTGTACTCGTATTGGCAAGAAAAGGATAAGAACGTATACATATACCCATACATTCAGGTATGTTCTGAGGGGCATTTACTTATCATTTGGGGCAGTCGCGTGTGCTTGCTTGTATACGGCTATACATTTGATATATTCACCCGCAACGAGTTGTTTATATTATTGCATAATTAGTTTTAGGGTTCGAAATATATGTTTTATGAATTGATGCATGTATTCGTATGAGTATACATATATATATATTATATATGTTTCTTAGGGAATACAAGGCTATAAGGTTGTCATTATCAATCCGATTGATTTAGGCATTTTGACCGCCCAGAGTATGCTTTCATCAAGAGTTCATGTTCAGTAACAAGCATGAAAGCTCTCGACATGATTCAATGTACCGTTTTTCAATTACTCATATGATATGCTCTACTGTGCTCTCTGTGTTATTACAGCACCGGCGTTCGGTATTGGAGGAATATCCAACCGACACTTCCGCGAGAGCACTATTAGAAAACTTCAATAAGGGATACATAGATATCTAAAAAGAGAGGTAACGACTTCCTGTTGATGGTATTGTATACTTCAAGTGAGGTGTTCCATAACCTATAGTCAGAAGCCATAATAACGCTATCATACAATGATCTGGTTGTATTAATGCACTGCCAACCAAGCGAATATTGCTACACTTTTCGCCTACAACTGGCCCCGCATGCCTTGACCCAACCTATCCACGATTGAACAAATCGCTGGTAGATTGCACATCCAGATGTGCGACTCAAATAAAGGGAGCTGTCAGTGTAAGTAGTAAAAGTATAGAAGCAATCCCGTAGGCCCATACTCAAGGTGGTTAGGGTATAGTATGTTATCACAATCGAACATAATACAGACATAGCAAGGGCTGCTATGATTGTATATTGTTCGTTATGTGCACTACAGTGCTTTGGAAATTATTGGGCCACTCTCTGTGTAGCTACTGTGTGTGTATGTATGCTAGATGCATTCATGCTCTCCGGTAGCTAATTGGACTATCAAAATAAATACACTGAAGTATACACACTCGAATCTCAGACTGTGCAACATTCTATTGCCGTCTATAGCCTTTTTTTTAGTACATCGACACATGAATGCAGGCAGTCCATTTAAAGTGCCCGTATGTGCAGATGGACTGTGAATAATTCACGCATATCCCTCTAAAAGTATATCATCACCAATACGTTTCACCCTAGACTCGGAGCTGGCAGAGGCAATTTCGGGGTAGACTAAAGAACTGGTGGGCACGCTTGCAATGTGAGGTAAGCAGATCAACTGAAGGGAAATTCAGGCATAGTGCTCCACATCGCCACGAATTGTACGGATGAAAAGGTCTTACCATACGTATGTAAATATATATATATATATATATATATACGTGTGTGTGTGTGTGTATTTTCGCAAGTATACATATATATAAATGTATATATATATATATGTGTGTGTATGTATATATATATCTATACATATATAGATATACTATACGGGAATATGTATATATATTGGTGTTTGTGTATTGTATGCCATGTTTGTATGTTTGTATGTGTATATAGATATATATCTATATTTCTATTTATCTATATATGTATGTATGTATGTATTTATGTATGTATAAGTATATATATGTATATATCTATGTATCTATATATATTTATATATATATGTAAGTGCATATATGAATATATATATACATAGTATATAATTTATATCGATATATATATATATTTATATCTGTATAAATTAATATATATATATATATTTATGTGTGTGTGTGTGTATATGTATATATATATATATATATGTCCGCACATATATTATATTTGTATGTATGTATGTATTTATCTATGTATGTACCTATGTCTATATATACGAATACATATAGATATATAGACATGTAAAAATATGTCCATACAAACATACATACATGCTTACGTATATGTATTTAATATTATATTGATGTATATATATACATATATATATATATTATTATTAACATACATACAGACATATACTATAGACATACATACATGCATGCATACAAAAAAACAACTATACAAATATGTCTATATAAAAATATATATATGTATATATGCAAGTATGTATGTATGTATATATTTAAGTATATTTGTATACGTGTGTGTGTGCATATATATGGATATGGATATGTATATGTATTCAAATATATATATATATATATATATATATATATGCATGTATGCATACTATATTATATATGCATGTACATATGTAAATATATGTAAATATTGATATGAATATATATATATATAGATATACATCCATACATACATATACATCCATACATACA